TAAAAGCTTACTGATTAGCCAAAACATTTGACCAGGATCTTCTGATTTACTTCTTGGCTATAAAACTAGTAAGAAAATGTTTGTTGGATGCCATGAATACTTAATTTATGTTTGTGTGAGACACTTAGCATTCGAGCTCTTTAGTAGATGTATAATATATTATCTCCTACCCTTTTTCCCATTACATATATTGTTAACTGTATTATTCAAGCTAACAGTGACACAATTCCAGCCCTACCTTGAGCTAAAGCTGAAAAATATTTAGGCTAGAGTTTTTTAAAAATTGTATCATTGGCAAATAAATAATTTAGGCCTGGCATGGTAACTCATGCCAGAAATCCTAGCACTTTGAGAAGCTGAGGCAGGTGGATCACTTGAGGCCAAGACCAGCCTGACCAACAAGGCAAAACCCAATCTCTACTAAAAATACAAAAATTAGCCAGGGATGGTAGTGCACACCTGCAGTCCCAACTACTTGGGTGGCTGAGGCACAAGAATCACTTGAACCCAGTAGTTGGAGGTTGTGGTGAGCTATGATCGCACCACTGCACTCCAGCCTGAGTGACAGAGCAAGACTCTGTCTCGAAATAATAATTTTTAAATCATGCATAATTTAGCATACCTCTAGGTAACATATTCATCAGATAAAGACCCATGGTTTCACAAAAAATAAACCAGCCTTGAGGTTAAAAAGCCTTAAGATTTGATCTGTGTGGACTTTGGCAAATTACTTCAACATTATGAATGTTGGTTCTCCCAGTTAAAGAGTAGTGATCATAATAATATCTATATTGCAGTTTTTTTCAGGGTCATAAGTAGGAATGAGATAGGACTACATGATAAAGCTTTATATACCTTGTCTAAGTAAATATTACAGAAAGTTCTTTTTTTTTTTTTTTTTTTTTAGACAAAGTCTCACTCTGTCAGCCAGGCTGGAGTGCAATGGCGTGATTTCTGCTCACTGCAGCCTCCACCTCCTGGGTTTGAGTGATTCTCCTTCCTCAGACTCTGGAGTAGCTGGGATTACAGGCGCCCACCACCACACCTGGCTAATTTTTGTATTTTTAGCAAGACAGGGTTTCACTGTGTTGGCCAGGGTGGTCTCACACTCCTGACCTCAGGTGATCCACCTGCCTCAGCCTACCAAAGTGCTTGCAGAAATATTGATAAACATTACAGAAAGATTACTGAAAATGTAATAGATTAAAAAGAAGGTGAGTATATCTCTTACTCTACAAATCCTCTCACAAGTAACCACTATGAACTCTAGACAGCATACTGACAACTACCTGAAAGCACTTAACAGCAGAAAAAAAAATAAGCAGACACTGGAAAGAGGTCAACATCTGGAAGAAGGAATGGCACTGAATGAGGACAGACCCCACTCAGCCTATCAACTACACAAAATTCAAATTTAAAAATCCACAGTCTTAGGGATTTTAAGGCCTAGAGAACAGTGTATATGGTGAAGACAACTGCTAAAAAATGAGGTGGAAAATCAGGAAGAAAAACAGAACCAACAGAAAGGAAGTCTCACTTCATATATTAATTCTGCCCAAATTTTAGGGTGACCTTGAACTATGCATATAAGGAGAAGACTCTAAGCAGCCCACTGAAGGCTAAACAAATAAAGATTACTTAGAATTCAGAGCTTAAAGTTCAAGTTACTGCCTGCTGAAAAGAAAAAAAAATGTTCCTCTGAAGAATGAAAAGAATCAAGAGGGTCTAAACTGTATCATTCTTACCATGCAGGACATAATTTAAAATTAGTAGCCATATGAGCAAACATGAAAATGGAATACATACTCAAGAGAAAAGGCCATCAGTCAAAACCAATCCCAAAATGGCCCAGGAATTAGAATTAGTAGACAGATTTTTAAGCAGCTATTTTAAATATGATCAAGGATATAAAAAAATGCTTATGATACATAAAGATATATAAAATTTTAGCAAAGAAATAGAAACTTATAAAGAACCCAAGGAAACTTTAAGAACATAAAAATACAGTATCTGAAAAATGTTAAAAACTCATTATATGAACTTAACAGCAGACTGAAGATAGAGGGAAAGTTAATAATCTCGAAGACAAATACAATCTAAAGAACAGAGAAATAAACGGGAAAAAAATGAACAGAGCCTCAGGAATATGTGGGAGCCACAGGTCTAACACATGTGGAAGTGGAGTCCAAGAAGTTAAAGGGGCAGAAAAAATATGAGAATGATAATGGCCAGAAACTTCCTAAATATAATAGAAGACAAAAATTTATAGGATCAAAAAACTTGGAGAACCCTATGTAGGAGAAATACAAAAAAGAAAACAAAAAACTATACCCATGAACACAGTAGTCATACAACAAAGCAACAGCTAAAGGTAAAAATCTCAAGAATAGCTAGAGAGAAACAACAAATTACACACGGGGATAATGATGTAAATGATCACTAACTTTTTATCAGAAACAATGGAGACCAGACAATAGTGAAGTCATGTCTTTAAAAAGATTATAGGAAAGGAAAAACCTGTCAGCTCAGAGCTCTATATACTATAGGAATGAAATATAAATAAAGATATGTTCAGATTTAAAGAAATAAAAAGAATTCATCACTAACAAATCTAAACTACAGAAAAAGCTATAATAAGTTATCTAGGCTGCAGGGAAATAACACATAGACATTCAAATCTTTAGAAACAAACGAAGAATACTTTCACTTTATGATTCAAAGTCTTTTGGCCCGTTATTACTCAAAGATTCTGACTCAGGTGCTGCCAAGCTGCTTAATTTCTTTTCTCAGATTCACCCTCACAAACATACATGCAAACATATACACCAAACAGACAGAAACAGGGACCTATGTAATAACTGTGGTTCATATATACAAGGATCATGTGCCTAAGGTAAACTGAAGATTTCCCAGCTCCTGCAAGAGTAAATGGTTCACACTGCTTAACTTTCTCAAAAAGTAGCATACAGGACATATTACTATGAGTTTTTGCCCATTTTTAATCAGGCTATTTAGGCTTCTTACTTGTTGCTCAGTTATAAAGTTTATTTATATACTCTGGATATTAACCACTAACTAGATATAGACAGTTCTCCAAAGAAGATATATAAATGGCCAATAAGCACATAAAAAGATGCTTAACATCACCCCAATCATTAAAGACAAGCAAACCAAAACTACAAAGAGATACCACCTCACATTCATTAGGGTGACCATTATCAAAAGAAAAATAAAACAGAATATAACATGTGTTGGTGAGAATATAGAGAAATTGGGGCATTTATGCACTGTCGGTGAGATTGTTAAAATAGTACAGCCATTATGGAAACAGCATGAAGTTTCCTCAAAACAATTACCATATGATCAAGCAATCCTACTTCGGAATAGGATTTAAAACAGAATTACCATGTGATCAAGCAATCCCACTTCTTAGTATATATCCAAAAGAACTGAAAGCAGAATCTCAAAGAAATATTTGTAAACCCATGTTCACTACATTATAAATTATTAATTTATAATTAATATAAATTATATTATTCACAATAAGCAAGAAATGGAAGCAACCCAAATATCCATCCATTCATCAATCCATTCATCAATCCATTCACTGACTGATGAATAGATAAAGAAAACATGGCATATTCATACAATGGAATACTATTCAGCCTTAAAGAAAAAAAGTAAATCTTGTCACATGCTAAAATATGAAGCTTGAAGACATTATGCTCAATGAAATAAGCCAGTAACAAAAGACACATACAATATGATTACACTTATATGTATCTTAGTCTTTCTGCTGATATAACAGAATACCAGGGACTGGGTAATAAAATATAAAGAAAAGTTTATTTCACTCATGGTTTTAGAGCCTGGGGAGGCCAAGAGCATGGCATTGGCATCTGGTGAGGGTCTTTTTGCTGTATCATAACATGGCAGAAGGCATGAAATAGTGAGAGCAGGAGTGTGCTAGCTCAGGTTTCTCTTCCTCTTCTTATAAAATCAACTATCATGAGGACCCCATCCTCATAACCTGATCTAATCTTAAATACCACCCAAAGTCCCCACCGTCCCCAAATGTCATCAACATACAAATCTGGAGATGAAGTTTCAAACATATGAAATCTGGGGACACGTGCAAACCACGGCAATAAGGTATCTAAAGTAGCTGGTTTCCAGGGACTTAAGGAAAATGGAAATGGGGAGTTGCTCAGTAAATAGAGAGTCTTAGTTTTGCAAGATGAAAAAGTTCTTGAGATCTGTTGCACAAGGTGAATACAGTTAACACTGCTGACCTGTACACTCAAAAGTGGTTAAGATGGTAAATTTTATATATTTTTACCATAATTTTTTAAATAAAAACAATTCAAAAGGATTATTTAGATACAACTATTTTAGCACAAATAGAATTAATATAAATTATATGTTGAGTGCAATAATTTAGAAAAGCTAGAAAATAAGTAAATAATGAAATGTCAAACCTCTCAAATGTGCACCAATTCTCTTTTGTACTTACTGAATTGGAGATTTCATAGATAAAAGCACAGTAGATGCTAAAAATTTGTGGCACAGTAATGCTAAATATTTGTCTTCTTCTTTCCCTTCCTTCCATTTTCCTGTACTCAACCTGTCCCCAACTTCAAATACATGCACTGAATCAAGACAATAAACAAAAAATAATAAAGTTTTCTGCTTTTTTCTTCCCTTTGCAGTTCTCCGCAACAGATACAGTAGCATTGGTTCAGAAACAATGAAGGAAAATTGGAGGGAAGCTCAATTCCAGCCTTCTAGTTATGAAAACCAGACTATTTCTTATATTTCAGGCTCAAGATGGCAGCTCTACCAGGCAATAGAAAGATATTTGAGTGCTCAAGATCTTCAAAACCAAATGAGAAATTAATTTAAATGATAAAATATTATCATTTATCTCCTATTCACAACTAATGTACCAGAACTAATTTCAAATTAAAGATGGCAAAAATAAGAGACAACACACCCACTTAACAGTTTCTTTACTAACCAATGAAACAAAAAATAAGAAAATATATATCACAAATAATTAGCTTATTCCATTAGGAAATACCTTATTCTACATTCTCGTAGAATTGGTTTTCCATCAGTTTCATCACATCTTGTTTCTTCCCTTCTGTTTGGGTGAAAAGTTCCATAATAAACAGTAAGAAAAAGAATTCCAAGAAGAAGAGTAAGAACTATAGTGATACTGATAGGTATAAAATAGTCTGGATTAAAAATAGAGAGGGGGCAAACCCAGAACACAATCAATATCCCCAAAGTGCCCAGTACCCTCACAATATAATAACAAGACATTGGACACTTGGTATTCTGTCCCTTAATATTAAAAAATGTAAAGATAAGAATGAATCCAACAACAATCCTATATAAGAATTCCATACCTATAGAAGTACAAAATTGGGTGTTCTTTTTAAATGCCCATATTATACCTAACAACCAAAGAAACAACAACAGAAATAAAGCAATCTTAACATTTAAGAATAGTAGATGTACAACACTCAGCATCCACGATAATAATGTAAACAACTTGTAAAAGAGATATGTGACTTTGGGCCATAGCCCATTAAGAAGCTTTTTGTCAGGCAAGGATTTTCTTAAAGCTACTTGATAATCAACAGTTGACCAAGAAATAGCACAGCAAGAGATCATGATGGCTGCATCTACAAAACAAAAAAATGAAAAAGATATTGTTATAGGAATAATAGAAATATTAAATTACTATATGCCATACATGCTATATCTATATACACACACCCACAAACACATCAGGCAATTTACTCATCTCATCTAATCCTTTGAAGTAAATATTAATGTCATATATTACATATTGCCATATATTATGTAATATATATGACATTATACATGATATTAATAAGTCATATACATACGAGTGAACTGAGGCTTGGAGAGATACACTGCTTGACCCAAGCAAAGCTAGCAAGTTTCAGAACTGAGATTTAAACCTGATTCCAAAGTGGACAGATTTATCCATTACATTAGACTGCTTTATTATGATTTTTTTAAAGTTCATGGAACAAATTTTACTGAGAAACTGATACAATGAAAATTGCAAACTCTGTGAGCTAAGAGATTATGGTTATAATCCTAGTTTTTCTAGATTTTTTGACTGTGGCCTTAGGCATACACCCAATTTACTAAGAGATAATAGCTTCAAGCAGGGGGAAGAGAAGGAGAGGGGAGAAAAACAGAAAATTTAATATGAGATATTAAACAAGCCCAACTTCTCATATCCTAAAGATATTGAAACAAATGAATATGTGCTAAAACTTACAAATTTCTGTAAAATTGACATCTTTACCCCATTTTTTCTCAACAAATAACAGAAAAGTAAGTTAATTATGTTCTCTCTTTTATTTTTCTTTCTTTCTTTCGCTGGAGTACAGTGGTGCGACGTCGACCTCTGCTTCCCAGGTTCAAGCAAGTCTCCTGCCTCAGCCTCCTGAGTAGCTGGGACTACAGGCCCACACCACCATGCCTGGCTAATTTTTGTATTTTTAATAGAATGAGGTTTTACCATGTTGGCCAGGCCGTTCTTGAACTCCTGACCTCAAGTGATCCACTCATCTGAGCCTCCCAAAGTGCTGGGATTACAGGCGTGAGCCACTGCACCCAGCCTACCACTTTGTATATAATATAATTGAAAAGCAGACTTACAAAAATTTATCTATTGATAAAGATAATGAGGACAGAACCTTATAAATGCCTTTGCGTGCTCTCTTGGTTTTAGCACACACCACCAGACCTCATTAGTCAAACTTCTTCGGAGATTGATTTGAGTAATAATAAAACTCCCGTCTCCTGCACAGAAGAATTACTCTTTCCTTATTGTAATTCCAAGTTTGATAAATTGGTTGTGTCTATGCAGTAGCAAGGTGAAACCACTGGGTGGTTACAAATTTGGGGGCTCATCCAGGAATGCCCTTGTGACTACCAGCCCATGGTTCAGTACCCCCACTCTAGCAATGGATCCAGAGGCCAGCCGAAGTGGCTGCCTAGTTCTCTTGGACTGGGGGCTGACTCTAGTACTCTTAGCAGGATACTGCCCACCCAACGTGCATGGATTTAATTATAATAGAGAAATAGTCCTGGGGAGACATCCTATAACTGTAGCCTCCTCACAGGGTATCTGTAGCTCGATGGCAGAGTGTTTGTAGTTATAATCCCATTACAAGGTGTCTGATTTGGTGAGTATCCTAGATGCGGCCAATGCCTCCACCCTCTCTCAACTGGTTCTGTAGCCCCATGATAGGATGGTGGTCTACAGCCCCATTGCAGGGTGTCTGTTTGTAGCTCCCACACAAGGTGTCTATCTCAGTTCAGCTCCTTTGAGGGTCTTGGTTTGTCTACAGCCCCACTGTGGGGTGTCTGTCTCAGTTCAACTCCTGGAGGGTCATGGTTGGCTCTCCCTAATTAGTAGGAATTCTTGGTTCAGGAGACTTCTCATCAATCAGAAAGATTTCAGGGAGATTTATCAGACTGAGAATAGGAGGATAGTTTGGAAGGGATACTCTTGGAGTTCTTGCTTAGGAATCTGATTTGGAAGGCTTTCTGTCCATCTTGTCTTGGTGTATGTTTGTATATGTGGAGGGGATCTCAGAAGGAATTGTCTACGGAAGTCCCACAGTTCTAACTCAGAGAAGCTTCCTTGTCTGGTCACATTCCATGAGCCCAAAAGAAAACTCAACAGGTCTGTCTCAGGGTGACTATCTGCTCTTCACCTTGCCCAGAACCCACCCATTGTGAACCATTCAGAGGTCATCCTTCCATACCTGGAGTGGATCAAAGACAACAGGGACCAACAAGAGAAAGTTTCAGTTTTGCCAGGTTGATACTGGGTGCTCAATGAGGTGACTGGTGTCTGTTTTGTTATGTGTATTTTGCTAGAATGGAAAATGTTAATTTGGCTCACCATGTAGCCCACTGGGAAACATCTTGCAAAATTGAGAATCTTTTGCCTATGGTTCCCTAAAACAGAAAAAGTGGCTTTTATAAAGCAGCTTGAACCCCACAGCTATGCAACAGTGAGCAGGGTCATCAAAAGATGCTCCATTCTTCTAGAAGCTGCAGAGAAAGGGAATCTGGAAACCCAGCATGCCAGCAAAAAAAAAAAAAAAAGTATATGAAATTCTTACCAGCCAAGTTTCTGGTCTCCTTCTCTCTCTTGTCTTTCTCTATGTGTGTATGTAAATGGCAGACATCACTATTTGTTTCCTGTGCATGAGTTTGAGTGATAGAAAAAAAGGATTTGTGAAACTAGTCTGAGGCTGTAGCAAATCTTGTGTGCTAAGAATTTACCTTCCTGTGTCATTCTGCAATGGGTATCACAGGATACAACAAGGGTTTAGGACCCCTATAAGGCTGCTTTTTAAGCTGGCCCAGCAGGCTGGTCAGTTACAAAATTTGCTGTGAGTCCCTCAAACCAATACTGGATGAAATTTCTCTGTTTTGTTTTGTGTCCTTAAGAGCTTAACCTTGTGACCACATGGGAATACTTTCTCTTGGTTTCTGCCATCCAGAAGACAAAAATTGGGGGGCTCATATCATAGCCCTAAAATTATCTTGAGCAGTTAAGAGCCTTTGCAAGCTTGAAATTGGCTGCTCTAGATTTCTTCTGGGAAGAGCAATAGAAACTGCTCAATGCCATGTAGCTCAGTACCTAACACTTTGTCTTTTGACAATGGCAGCCTGGTTTCAATTCTTGGTTTCTGGAATAGTTTCTTGCTGGTTTATTATTTGTATAACTTTACCACTTATTAAACTTCCCCCACCCCACACTCCCAATGATAGTTTCTGATTTCCTGTCTTGAATTTTCCTTTCTCTGAGCAACCCTTGGGGAGACTATAAATCTTATTTTTAAAAAAAATGCTTACCATCTCTTTAAAACACTTTATGCATCCATGATTAAGTTATAACCTTAGTTAAAACTTATTAATTTTATGTGGAAAGTTACTTGTGGTAGAATTCAAAAAGAAATATTGGCTATTCTGGCAAGAGTCTGGTAATAAGAGATTTAAAAGAATTTTTCTTTAGAAAAAAAAGCTCTATGGAGAAAATTGCAAAGGGTTCTGAAAAAGTTTATAAAAATCTTACCTTATGATCAAACTAATTAAAACTACATTGATTTATAATATTTTTTAAACTAGCTTTAACATTAAACATGCACTAATACAAACATAAAATTTGTTTTTCTCATTTGAAAAAGATTTTTATGTAATATTAAATAAAAGGGTTTTTTTTTTTTTTTGTCCCTTTGGGTAAATGGCAGGGGGAAAACCAGGAAGAAGACAAAATACAGGTTCAGTTGGCCTCAGGCTATCTCCATTGGGTTTTGTTTGGAAAGCTAAGACTCTTCTATCAGAGTAAAGGGTTTTGCCTTAAAAACATTTGTTTTTCAAGTTACCACCTCGGATAAGTAAATAACCTGTGATCTCATTTTGTTATATCCAGTGTTTTAAGCCTTTGATATTTGACAAACTTTCTAAAATCAAGTTATAAAGTATGTCATTTTCTGACCTAATTAATCCTTTAGACATTAGGTCCTCTGAAGTCCAAAAATAATGTGTTTGGCTTATTTGGTACAAAAATCATACAGAAAGCATTATAAAATTTGAAATGGTGCTTGGCTTTCTTTGGGCTATATTTGCATAAATGTGTTACTGGCATATGTTCCAAAATTATATGAAACTCCTATAATTCTGATATGACTTAGTATGTTATCATTAATAATTATCATTGTTATGTTAAATTATTGTGTGCCACAGAGGTAACAAATTTCCTTGTCAATTTTATCTTTAACTATGGCTGCCCTAAAATTTTTTGTCATCCATAGCCCATTGTTACCTTATTTTGATCCTCTGTAAATGGTGGTTTTCTAATCAGTTATAAAACTTTGACAAGTGCTCTTGAATGCAAGTTTCTTATAACTTTGGAAATTATGACATTAGAATGAAGAGGAAAACTTCCAAGACTCCAAGGGAGAGCTGAAATTTTCATGAATACCAAGCAGGACAAGAGTTAACTGAAGGAACTGAACTATTAGAAGACTAAAGTAATCTTTCTTTTTTGCTGTTTTGCATAAAACATTGCTGATCTTTTTTGTTTTCCAGAGCCAAGAAAACTTTTGAGCTATTTACAGCTTTTAACAATTGAGTAAAATATACTCCTATAAACAAAATTTGAAGCATATTTGTTTCTCTACTTAATTTCTCCAGAATTTGGAAACTATTTGTGAATATTCTCAACTTACGGCAGTATAGTTATTTGCATAAGTGCAATTAGAATCTGTTTTCTTTTGTAACAGGACACAAAATGGAGAAACTGGTTATTTTACCAAGGCTTTCACTGGAATGGTATACTTTCTTTAATAATCAAGGTTGACTCATAGAGCCAATAAGAGCCCCTTGGGAAACCTGGCCTCATATCTTGTCCACACAGTCCCTATACAAGGTTCCTGATCTGTGATACATAAAAAATGTCAGTTTCTAACAGACCAAGGAACCCCAAGTTGTCTTGGGACCTCAAGAGGAGAGGAATTTTCTCAACTCATAGGTATTTGATGTACAAGCCCATGGCTGGGCTTGGCTTTAAAAATAAAAAAAATCTTACCTGAGATTCCTTATGGAACAAAGTTCCACCAAA